AAAAAAAAAAAAAAAAAAAAAAAAAAAAAAAAAAAAAAAAAAAAAAAGTGACAACTACACGCTCGTGCTCGAGTGCGAGCACAGATGACAAGTAGGTACGGCGCGAAGGCGAGCGACTTCTTATGAAAAATCGCGCTCCCTTTCGTCAAGCGTTTCACGTTGATTCTTTGCGCCTCCGTTTGGTCGCTTTCTTTTACTTAGTCACTCGACGATCGGCAGCGCTCGAAAGTAATTAAAAGCGCGTCGCTCTGGATATACATTTTTCTAATGGTTAAACAAAGATCTTGTACTATCCTTTATTATCGATGATTCTGTATATTAGTAATGGAAGCTCGTCTATTCGCAAGATCTTGGATGATCGGTAAGCTTCGATTTAGTTGGAGAAGTGTATACTTACATGGGAAAAGTTGAAAACATCCTGGACTTTTTTTTTTTTTTTTTTTTTTTTTTAATTCACTTGCAGTAACAGTGTACATTTAAAAGTATACCGTTGGAAATGAATTCAATACAATTGTTTTTTAAGGTAGAGCGAGATTCAAACAACCACACAACATACTTTCAATTAGTACTCAATCATGCATATCTTTGTAAAGTTATAAAAGCGTAAAAATTCGGTGATACCACAAGTACATGGATAACTAATGAAAAACGCTAACTTGGAGTGAAACATAATACTAACTAATGCTCTCGAGTAAAGAGTTCTCAGCTGGAAAATCTCATATAAAAAAAAAAGGATCAGGACACACAGGTATACAAACAATAAAGACAGCAACGCGGTTAGTCCCTATAGAATGATAGTCATTGAGTTGTTTCCAGGTGATTTCAACGGTTGGCTTCTTTCTCGCTCCTCTCGCTCGTCACTCGACGCTCCTCGCCAGGCTCTTCAGCGACGGCATGATCTCCCTTGCGTCCAGCACCTTCGCCCCCGCGTGATTGCCCTCCTCGTGGTGATGGGCTTGATCCAGCACCGCCGTCATCTCGCCCGGTTGCTGCACCACCTCTTGAAAATGCCTGCAAGAAAAACACCGGTCAGTAAAATGCAACCAGGAGATGGAGAGAAAATAAAGCTCCTCTCACTTGGAGTTGCGGTAGCCCGGCTGCTGCTGCTGCTTCTTCTTGAGCGCGTGGTCGTAGCGCTTGCTGCACCTGATGCCGATGAGCGCGAGGATCGCCACGAGCGCGAGCCCGAGGAGTACGGCGATCAGGGCAATCATGGAGCCGGGAAGCCGGGCGCCCGGGTCGTCGATTTTGTCCTTGCTGACGTCGTCGACCAGAAACTCGAGCGGATCGTCGTCCAGCCAATTGACCCAAGTGCTGTTCCAGAGGGCGGGGTCGGCGCGCGGGTCGTTCGGCACGTTGCTCGGCGGCACGGCCGTCACCCGGTACTTGAGCAGGGCTTCCTCGAGAGTGGCCAGTATCATTGGGCGCTGGTCGGCGAGGTTGCGCTGCTCGCACGGGTCTTCCTTGATGTTGAAGAGGCAGGGAGCTTGGCGCGGATTGCAGGCTATCTAAATGAATTCAACATACACATTTTTTTTTTTTTTTTTAATTATACCATAAGTACTTTTAAGTAACATAATCTTACTCTATCCGATTCAGGCACTGTGCAGCGTATACTGGCGGTAGATCTCAACTTTAGCAACTCGTCGGCCGTCAGCAGTTTAGCTGTTGTAATAGCGTCCTCTCTCACTCTCTCGTACGTGTGGCTCCTCACCGCTCGAATCTCCGTCACCTGCGTATAATATATTACGATATGTACGATTTGAACGGGGATGCATCGAATATATAAATCTAGGTGTACGCATGTATTACCTGCTTGGCGGTGAGCAAGCCAGAAATGGCGGTGCCGGCCTTGCTCATGAGCACAGTCTCCGGGTCGTAGGCGGGGCTCCTGCCCTCCTGCTCTGCGTCCTCGGTCCTACCGGTCTCGCCGTACCAGTCCTCCCCGTTGCCCACCGTGCCCAGGATGTACTTGAAATCGCCTCTCCTTATTGCCGAGTAGTTGAAAATAGGGTCGATGTTGACGAGGACCTCGGCTCTGGCGTTGCCGGCGGCCGGGGACTCGCCGGTTATCGCCGGCCACATGTTGACGCCGTCTATCTTACCGGGGGGTACGTTGGAGCGCAGCCCAGCCGCCGACAGGAGGGTAGGCAGCCAATCGGCGATGTACATTAGGTCGTTCGAGACGCGCTTCGGCCGACGAATCAGCGGACTCCATACCGCCGCTGCACCCCGCACCGCCCCCTCCCACGCGCTGGCTTTTATCTGCAGAGGCAATTTTTTATACAATCACTCGTAAATAAATTCGCACGCACCTATGTACAACAATGCCGCGCGGGTATGTCCAATTTAAAATCCATTATTACGCGCAGACCGTGTATTTACGTAATCTGCAAGCTCTGAGAGATGGAAATAAAACAAAAATATAGAAGGAAGAGCTAAAGGATACGAGCAAAGTCCAAAATAATCAACGATTAACGCAAACGCGGATGAAAAATAACGTTGTATCTCGCGAGAGTATCGCGGCGCATTCAATTATATGGAAGCGATAGCCATCTCGGTGCATATATGGGTACATACGGTTGTTAATAAATCATTTGCCGGTCGCAGGTGTTGGCTTGTGCTCGAGTAAGCCGCACATATAACGATTCCGCGGTCGCAGAAGGAGATCGTTAACGTACGCAGGTCTTTAAAAGTATGAATATCCGGCATTTAAACGCGCATGTGGGATTATTTACGCGAGTCCATTGCAAAAGTCGATCGTTCATTTTTTTTACAGGTACCGATATAATTTTTTTTTTTTTTTTTTTTTTTCACGCGTTCTTGGAGTGCCGAGTATCGTAAGTATATATATAGTTGACGTGGAACAATACTCACATTTGTAACGTATCGTTGAAAAAAAAAAAAAAAAAAAAAAACACTTATATAGTAACGAATGCACGATTGTACGCGTTGCGAGGCAGTGTAATGTATTACCGATACGTGCCAATCGGCAATTACCGTGCCTACACGGACAAATAAGCAAACAGAGTCGTACGCACTGCAGGAATGCGATCGGTTGAAGAATGACCGTCGGCCAAGTTTTATGCAAACACGCGAAAGAGGTAGATATATATTATATATATATGTACGCGAGTAGGGAAGCTTGAAAACAAAACTCACCCCTCTGAGCGGGTAATTGCTGCCCCGGTTGTAGTGGATGCCCTGCGTGGCTGCCCCGTTGTCCGCCATGAACACAACAACGCTGTTTTGCAGCATGGAGTTGCGCCTAAGAGCCGCGACGACCTCGCCGACGCTCTCGTCGAGTTTGGCCATCATCGCGGCGTAGATCCTCCTCTCGGGGTCCCGGATGTACGAGAACCGGGCGACGACGTCGTCAGGGGCCTGGAGGGGCTCGCGGTCGGTGCCGCTGTGGGGCGCCAGGTGGGCCAAGTACAGGAACATCGGGCCCCCGGCCGCGTCGTGCTCGTCGATGAGCTTGACGGCCTCGGCGGTGAACAGGTCCGTCGAGTACTTGCCCCGGGCGTCGTGGGCCACGCTCATGTTGCGACGCATGTCGTAGCCCCGGTACGGCTCACCCCCGACCGATGACACCACCTCGTGGTCGTAGTAGTCCTGGTAGCCGTTCCAGTACCCAAAGTGCGTGTCGAAGCCGCGGTAGGTCGGCGTGTACTCGCGCCGGTGGAAGCCCTGGTGCCACTTGCCGATCGCGTGGGTCGAGTAGCCGGCTTCCTTCAGGTACTGTTGTTCAAATGATGTTTTCATTATGCCCCGATGCATACGATAAACAACGACGATAAACACATGTACACGCGTTTGTATAATCAACGACATTGTTCTCACGCGATTCCTCCGTTAGTTCGAGTATGGTCGGTTAATGCATTATTAACATCTTCCATCTACCCACACACATCCTGTTCGGTTCCTGGTGCGAGACGATACAATCTCAATCTCTGTTTACGCGAGAGTTAACGAGAAGGTGATCGATCGAATATATCTTGTGGTTGGAAATCGTTTATTTAATTTGTTGTAATCGATCGAATCGTTTGTTACAATTTTACCAACAACAAATGATTATCAGATCAAGTTATGTGCTGTTCCAACTCATCGGAAATATGAATTTTTATTTTCTCTCAAAGCTGTTTGTCCATTTCTACCACATACTTATGATCAAATGACTCAGTCAACTATATATCACAGATCGAGGCTTTTCTTGAACACATAAAACTTTAATAATAATAATAATAAAAAGGACGCTCTCGTAACTCACGCGCATTGATGTTTAAAAAATAACTTATCACACATAAAAACGTATACGGAGATATTCACGTATATTATATGTCTCGTTGCAATCGGAAACATTAAAAAGTCCCGCTCATCGATGAGCAATAATAGCTCCGCTCTCAATGAAGAGGATTAAAAATTAAACCAATGTATCAATGTGTAAACTCATAGCGTGACCTTGGCTTTTATTAGCGAAAAATTAATATCGTGTAAGGATGGCGTGCGATACACCTAGTGTACACGACAAATAATAAATGAATAAATAAATAAATATTAAACGACCGCGTGAAGCGACGGTGAGTTGCCCAAGCGAGGGATTTTTTCTTCTTCTTCTTGCACTCCCTCGTGTGCATCGCGTATTAATAAAATATCGGAAAGCATAATATACGCACACGCGCTAAACGCGATTCTACACCGTACACGTGAACATATTATTATACATAGTTAAAGCAAGAAATTAAAAGTCATAGATTTTATTATCTCTCTCTCTCTTTACTACTATTGTGAAACCGTCATTCTTTTATGTATACACACGTAACGAGTTTCCTTTTTTTTTTTTTTTTTTTCAAACACTTTTTTACCTCCCTACGTAGGTATATCTTTGAAAAAAAAAAAAAAAAAGGAAAATCCACGAAGACATGAGCAATATAAAACGACAAGGTGAACAAACTCCGCGGCGTTGGCTTTTATTTCATGAGATGTATATATTTTTTGTTCTACTCTATACCTGTACAGGTAAACGCGGACCATTAATTCGAATGTCTCCCTTTAACCCGTGCAATCGCACACGACGGCACTTACATGGTAACAATATCGAGGCGCGATAACGATTAATCAGCGCCCGAGGACAATCCCGCGGTATACAGTGAAAGTAACGCGATGTACATACATACACCGTACAACAATTAGTGGAATTTGATCGCGTGACGGAGGTACTTACCAAAGGGGGGGGGGAGGGGAAGAAAAAAGACAAACCTGCGGGAGTAGCTTCTCGTGGAGGGGCAGTCCCCGGGGCTCGGCCTCGAGTATCACGAGGTGCTGCATGCCCGTGTGAATGGGATACTTGCCGGTGAGCAGGGCCGACCGGCTCGGGGTGCACATGGCGGAGACGTAGTGGCTGTTGAGGATGACGCCGTTGTAGGCCAGGGCGTCGATGTTGGGCGTGGGGATCTGGTCGCTGCCGTGGTAGCTCACGTCGTTCCAGCCCATGTCGTCCGCCAGGATCATCACTATGTTGGGCGGACCGGGGTCTGGCGGTGATGACGAGGAGGATGAGCTGCTGACCGCCAACCCGTTGGCGAAGGGCAGCGAGTACGGCTTACGGGGCACCGACCTCACCGCGGCCAAGAGGAGGACCAGGGGCACCAGTAGCCGATGTGTTTTCAACCCCATGTCCGTGATGGCCATCTGTTGCAAATGCCGATTTAACGCGGGGCTATTATTTTATTTCAAGCGTTTACGGTGACTTTTTTTTTTTTTTTACCCACGCTTTGGAAACAATGAGCATTGAATTCGTTCGTTTGTTCGAGATTCGACGGATTGAAGAAAAAAAAATTTATCCTTCGATTCTACCTACGGGGAGGAAGTAGGGGGGAAAAAAAATCGGCAACGCCTGTCCCGTGAATTTTATTAGCTTTTGTATCGTAGGGAGGTCGAGTTGGATTATCTTGTACTCGACAAAAGTTCGGGTTCGACGCAATATGACACTGGGGCGAGAAAGAAAAAAAAAAAAAAAAAAAAGATCAATTTGAAACTTTCTTCCCCGTTTGAGGACAAAAAAAAAATCGCGTCAGCCTTCCGCGTCTTTTTCTACATTTTAATATCGAGTTTGTATAGTTTTCCCCCTCCACTGTCGCCTCCTTGACATTGTTTATTCGAGAGAAAATTGAAGGGAGCCCCACTATAATTTATCATCCAGGATTTTTTTTTTTTCCAATTCGCACACGCATGGGAGCACGTACAATACGCGCGACTAATAATAATCCGCGCGTTGGTTCTGCGAAGGCCTCGCCGGCACATTATTTCAAAAGCCCCACTTAATTTTCAATCACTCAGAGTACAGGTGTATACAGGTGCACGAGTCCCATTGGCAGACGTACGGGAGCTGCGGGACAATAAAATACACGAGTAACGTACACGCGCGAGAGCAACGAACGGCGTTTCATTTATTATTAATCGCCACGGCTGCGCGTAACTCGTTATACTAAACACCTCCTATTTGCGACACGGCCATAATAACGCGTGTATTGCGCTCGTTGAAGTGACAAGATGTAAATTCAAGTGCTCCCTGAAAGATAAAAAGTAACGTTTGATGATTTTTCCCCTGTTCACTCGTACAACTATCACTTAAATTTTTCTTTTTCCAAAGCTCATTTTTCCAACCTCCCGTGCCGTGGTCGTCCGTCTTCAGTTTTTCAATCAAACACGCGCCATTGTGCAATCGAAGCGATCAACCGAGCGGCTTTATGATTATTCATCGTCATCCGCCTTACTTTGTGTGCACCACCTACCTCCTATGCGTTTTACATCGAGGGCAAGTATGCGTGCGCGCGAGAGAGCTTCGAGGATGAAACGGAACAAAAAAAAAAAAAAAAAATAGGTGATGCCGAGCGCGATTTTTCCAGCGAGCTGGACACGCCTCGTTTGATGCCGATGCTGTTGCGTCGGTTGCCCGTTTCGGCCTTTAAGCTGAATTATTTTTAGATGCGTGGCTTTGGATGATGCTGTTGCACCTCTGGGACGAAGAATATAAAAATTTACGGTGGAAGTGAATTAATTAGAAAGACAACGGAGTTGAATTTTCGAAGGTTCCGCGCGTACTTGATTCTGCGGGGAGTTCCTGGACGTTTGAAAAAGTAAAACTCGATGTCAAAGCTCGGGTAAGTATAGACAAACGATGACAATCGGATTAATAAGACACGGCCAAAGTTCCAAGGAGCTTTTGCACTCGTACATTGTTTTGCCGACGTTAGTATAGGGCTTTTCTCGTTTTCTGTACAAACAATCATCAGCTTCGTCTCGAGCACTATATGTAGGTATGCTTTACAAAAGCTCCCTCGTGGTACAAACGACGGTCCACTTTTTCGTACGAGGTACAAACAGATGCTGTTCTGCGATGCTTTCGTGGGTATGGATGATGCGATCGGTACTTTGTGTTATATGGTATGAGAAAATTGATCCCTCATGTTTTGACGGCAAAAAACGTGCAGTTGTACGATCGAGAGTCCTACCGAATAAACCACACTTTATTCTGGGAAAAACATTTGTCGTCGAATACAACATTGTACTCGCAAAATTATGTTAAAATAATCATAATTAAGTTTGAGGGTAGCATTTGAAAAAAAGGGTTGAATAAAGAAAGAAATTAAGCTCGCGCAGTTAAAAAAAAAGTTGCTTAGGACAAGATTATAAACGTAAAGTATAAAAGAAAAAAAGAAATTTTAAGAGGCTGAAGTAAAGATTTTTTTTTTTTTAGTATTCGTTAGTGCATGCGCTCAATCTGACTAATACGCCGAAGAATTAGGAAAATGTTACTACCAATTCGTTTGGACTACTATAAATAAACTGTAGTGTGAAAAACAGCCCTTTATCGTACAGTACTTACACACGTACAGATGGGATTACGAAAAAATAAGTCCATTAACCGCATGTGCAAAAAAAAAAAAGCTAATTTGCGAATATTTTATTACCAACGGTACGATATTTATACTGATAATTAGTGCAATATACTTCAGTACCTAATATACACCCAATTATTTTGCAATTACTGAGAATCTTTGAAAAACTTATGGGCAGCTGATTATTTAGCAGTAATTCTACATTACGTACTTTGGGCCCGCGCGGCAATTAAAAAAAATCCGCAAGTCTCTTTGATATTAATGATCAGCTGTATTTAAAAAAAAGCTTTATCTTTTTACGAGGCATAGTTGACACTGATTAACCAACGTACTTAATAAATTTTTTTTGTTTTTTCAAACTTACCACAATCGGGATGTAATGACTCGGTATGTAAATCTTTTGCTCGTCTCTCACGCAAAAAAAAAAAAAAAAAAAAAAAAAAAAAACTTGGAGATGAACGATGGAAATCTTACACACGTTGAAAGTAAGGATGCGAGAGATTTTTTTTTTACCTAAAGGGCTGAAAATACAAAGTCTCCCTTTGAACCCTGTTTTCTTAATTATTTTTTCTTCAAACAAAAAGCAATAAAAATAAGACACAAAAAACGCTTTTGATGTAACCTTAGAGAGAAAAGAAACTGATGTTGATTCGCGCATTGTTCTACTTAAGAAAGGCACGAGTGAAAAAAA